GTAAAGGAAGTGTGCGAGGAGAGACAGACGACACGGCTGGAAACATCCTGTCCTCACATTTAACCCTCCGTAATTTTGACACTCGACCACAGCGCCAAATTTTAATGTGTGAGTGAAATTAAAAACACAGTAATATATACTCTTCCTAAGACAAATCATCATTGGTCTTAATGTTGCCCAGATTCGTACGCTTCTCGGTTAGGCAAAACCGCTTCCAATTTGACGATTACCAAGTTATGAGAAGCGGGTGATGACACGAGAAGTACAGGTCACACACAGCAACAAGGGAAGTGTGTTTTGTAGGTGAGTAGTAAACCCGTGCGATGACCAGGAGATTGGGAGATCGCACAATACATAGCTAAGAGGTGTGTTCCAGGAGCTGAAGCTCACTATCCGCAGTAGCAAACAGGTAAGCGTGCACACAAACATTATTTCTCGCCAGAAGTTATGAGTGTTAAGGGAATTTGTAACATGATTTTAGTAGAGATAAAGTGGAGTGACTGTTGCGGCGGCAGCGCTCGCCACCAGGGTAATATCAGCACTCGTCGTGTGCTGGAAATAAGTTCGATAGGTGGCTGATAAAGCTAGGCTTGACTCCTGGCCGCCGTCAGTAGGCAGTGTACTGGCTACCAGCACACACACCGCGCGCCTCCCACCGCGGCCACCACGCCCACGTCCACCACGCCCGCGTTCACCACGCCCACCACGCCCGCGTTCACCACGCCCACCACGCCCGCGTTCACCACGCCCACGTCCACCACACACACACTGTCATCCACAGTGGTTTATGAGGGAGTGAGAGGCGGTGGTGGCGACGCTGGACCTTAGAGCACCCACTATGACCATCATGCAGAGATATGTGGACGTCTTCCTCAGCCCTTCCACCCAGCACTACATCAGCAACAGTACCATGGTAAGCCCTCAGCACCTCCACCCAGCAGTACATCAGCCCCATGGTAAGCCCTCAGCCCCTCCACCCAGCAGTACATCAGCCCCATGGTAAGCCCTCAGCCCCTCCACCCAGCACTACATCAGCCCCATGGTAAGCCCTCAGCCCGTCCACCCAGCACTACATCAGCCCCATAGTAAGCCCTCAGCCCCTCCACCCAGCAGTACATCAGCCCCATGGTAAGCCCTCAGCCCCTCCACCCAGCAGTACATCAGCCCCATGGTAAGCCCTCAGCCCCTCCACCCAGCAGTACATCAGCCCCATGGTAAGCCCTCAGCCCCTCCACCCAGCAGTACATCAGCCCCATGGTAAGCCCTCAGCCCATCCACCCAGCACTACATCAACTCCATGGTAAGCCCTCAGCCCCTCCACCCAGCACACGCTTCTGTCCACTCTTCAATAGTTACTGCTTTTACCTGACGAGTGGGACACCTGTATTTAACCGGTTTATGATATTGATCCCTCATTGAGTGGGTGTTGCAATGTCCCAGTACCTGTTTAAGGTAGACGCAGTCAATGTCCCAGTACCTGTTTAAGGTAGACGCAGTCAATGTCCCAGTACCTGTTTAAGGTAGACGCAGTCAATGTCCCAGTACCTGTTTAAGGTAGACGCAGTCAATGTCCCAGTACCTGTTTAAGGTAGACGCAGTCAATGTCCCAGTACCTGTTTAAGGTAGACGCAGTCAATGTCCCAGTACCTGTTTAAGGTAGACGCAGTCAATGTCCCAGTACCTGTTTAAGGTAGACGCAGTCAATGTCCCAGTACCTGTTTAAGGTAGACGCAGTCAATGTCCCAGTACCTGTTTAAGGTAGACGCAGTCAATGTCCCAGTACCTGTTTAAGGTAGACGCAGTCAATGTCCCAGTACCTGTTTAAGGTAGACGCAGTCAATGTCCCAGTACCTGTTTAAGGTAGACGCAGTCAATGTCCCAGTACCTGTTTAAGGTAGACGCAGTCAATGACCCAGTACCTGTTTAAGGTAGACGACCCAGTACCAAGGTAGACGCAGTCAATCCCAGTACCTGTTTAAGGTAGACGCAGTCAATGTCCCAGTACCTGTTTAAGGTAGACGCAGTCAATGACCCAGTACCTGTTTAAGGTAGACGCAGTCAATGTCCCAGTACCTGTTTAAGGTAGACGCAGTCAATGTCCCAGTACCTGTTTAAGGTAGACGCAGTCAATGTCCCAGTACCTGTTTAAGGTAGACGCAGTCAATGTCCCAGTACCTGTTTAAGGTGGACGCAGTCAATGTCCCAGTACCTGTTTAAGGTAGACGCAGTCAATGACCCAGTACCTGTTTAAGGTAGACGCAGTCAATGACCCAGTACCTGTTTAAGGTAGACGCAGTCAATGTCCCAGTACCTGTTTAAGGTAGACGCAGTCAATGTCCCAGTACCTGTTTAAGGTAGACGCAGTCAATGTCCCAGTACCTGTTTAAGGTAGACGCAGTCAATGACCCAGTACCTGTTTAAGGTAGACGCAGTCAATGACCCAGTACCTGTTTAAGGTAGACGCAGTCAATGTCCCAGTACCTGTTTAAGGTAGACGCAGTCAATGACCCAGTACCTGTTTAAGGTAGACGCAGTCAATGACCCAGTACCTGTTTAAGGTATACGCAGTCAATGTCCCAGTACCTGTTTAAGGTAGACGCAGTCAATGTCCCAGTACCTGTTTAAGGTAGACGCAGTCAATGTCCCAGTACCTCTTTAAGGTAGACGCAGTCAATGCCCCAGTACCTCTTTAAGGTAGACGCAGTCAATGTCCCAGTACCTCTTTACGGTAGACGCAGTCAATGTCCCAGTACCTGTTTAAGGTAGACGCAGTCAATGCCGCAGTACCTCTTTAAGGTAAACACTGAAACACTGACAGCACTCACAACTAGGTGAGTACTTTCAGTGTTTCAGTACCTCTTCTGGAAGGACAATGTCCCCGTTCCTTTGCAGTACTAGGTAGACACAGTGTGATTGTTGTTGTTTGTGGTAGCTTTGAGAGAGAGCATGTGGGGGAGCTCTTGGTGGTTGTACAAGTGGCTTTCGCAGTGGTAATGGTTGTACAAGTGACTCTGACAGTGGTAGTGGTTGTACAAGTGACTCTGGTAGTGGTTGTACAAGTGACTCTGGCAGTGGTGGCAGAGTGGTAGTGGTTGTACAGGTGACTCTGGCAGTGGTGGCAGAGTGGTAATGGTTGTACAGGTGACTCTGGCAGTGGTGGCAGAGTGGTAGTGGTTGTACAGGTGACTCTGGCAGTGGTGGCAGAGTGGTAATGGTTGTACAGGTGACTCTGGCAGTGGTGGCAGAGTGGTAATGGTTGTACAAGTGACTCTGGCAGTGGTGGCAGAGTGGTAGTGGTTGTACAAGTGACTCTGGCAGTGGTGGCAGAGTGGTAATGGTTGTACAAGTGACTCTGGCAGTGGTGGCAGAGTGGTAGTGGTTGTACAAGTGACTCTGGCAGTGGTGGCACAGTGGTAGTGGTTGTACAAGTGACTCTGGCAGTGATAGTGGTTGTACAAGTGACTCTGGCAGTGATAGTGGTTGTACAAGTGACTCTGGCAGTGGTAGTGGTTGTACAAGTGACTTTGGCAGTGGTAGTGGTTATACAAGTGACTCTGGCAGTGGTAGTGGTTGTACAAGTGACTCTGGCAGTGGTAGTGGTTGTACAAGTGACTCTGGCAGTGGTAGTGGTTGTACAAGTGACTCTGGCAGTGGTAGTGGTTGTACAAGTGACTCTGGCAGTGGTAGTGGTTGTACAAGTGACTCTGGCAGTGGTAGTGGTTGTACAAGTGACTCTGGCAGTGGTAGTGGTTGTACAAGTGACTCTGGCAGTGGTAGTGGTTGTACAAGTGACTCTGGCAGTGGTAGTGGTTGTACAAGTGACTCTGGCAGTGGTAGTGGTTGTACAAGTGACTCTGGCAGTGGTAGTGGTTGTACAAGTGACTCTGGCAGTGGTAGTGGTTGTACAAGTGACTCTGGCAGTGGTAGTGGTTGTACAAGTGACTCTGGCAGTGGTAGTGGTTGTACAAGTGACTCTGGCAGTGGTAGTGGTTGTACAAGTGACTCTGGCAGTGGTAGTGGTACAAGTGTGTACAAGTGGCTCTGGCAGTGGGTGGTTGTACAAGTGACTCTGGCAGTGGTAGTGGTTGTACAAGTGACTCTGGCAGTGGTGGCAGAGTGGTAGTGGTTGTACAAGTGACTCTGGCAGTGGTGGCAGAGTGGTAGTGGTTGTACAAGTGACTCTGGCAGTGGTGGCAGAGTGGTAGTGGTTGTACAAGTGACTCTGGCAGTGGTAGTGGTTGTACAAGTGACTCTGGCAGTGGTGGCACAGTGGTAGTGGTTGTACAAGTGACTCTGGCAGTGGTAGTGGTTGTACAAGTGACTCTGGCAGTGGTAGTGGTTGTACAAGTGACTCTGGCAGTGGTAGTGGTTGTACAAGTGACTCTGGCAGTGGTAGTGGTTGTACAAGTGACTCTGGCAGTGGTGGCACAGTGGTAGTGGTTGTACAAGTGACTCTGGCTGGCAGTACAAGTGACTCTGGCAGTGGTGGCAGAGTGGTAGTGGTTGTACAAGTGACTCTGGCAGTGGTGGCAGAGTGGTAGTGGTTGTACAAGTGACTCTGGCAGTGGTGGCAGAGTGGTAGTGGTTGTACAAGTGACTCTGGCAGTGGTGGCAGAGTGGTAGTGGTTGTACAAGTGGTTCTGGCAGTAGAGGCACAGTAGTAGTTGTAATTATGTTATGTATGGTATAGGGTATATTTCTTGTGTTGTCATTTGTGATGCAATGTATTACTCGTTATTTACCATCACGTCTCGGTAAGTCTTTCACTTGCGTTATTAAACTCGTATATTTAATATGTAAGTTAAATGAGAGTAAATGACACCTGTCCGGGTGCGTCATTTATATTGTTGTACGCCATAAAACCCTCATGATAACACCGACATTGTTTGTTATCCTTATCACTTTTACTAGTTATCAGTAGAACAAGATCCAATATTGTGGTTATACATTGTGGTATTAAACTTAATTCATTATAAAGCTCAACGGTATTGCTTTTGCAGGTTGGTATTTGGTGGCATCAGTTTTCTGCAGTATTCTGGGATTCAGATTTCTGGCTTCCGGCTGGAATAGAATGGAAGGACATAGAGCCGAGCGAGGAGTTCCAGTACCCAGTCTTCCACGACGTGTGGGTATACCCCATGTTGTTGGGAGCCGCTCTTCTCCTAGGGCACTACTTCTTCCTGGAGCCCTTCATCCTGGAACCCTTGGCGCAGGCCGCCGCTATACCTAACAGGAGGGCGCGCCCACCTCTACCCAGCAAAACTTTAGAGAAACTTTATTATAAATATGGAATGAATTGTCCGAGAAAGGCGGTAGTGGAGGCTTCCAACAGCACGGACCTGACGGTGCGCCAAGTGGAGAGGTGGCTACGGCGCCGCAGTGCTACTGCGCAGAGCACCAAGTATGAAAAATTTATTGAATGCGGTTTTAATATTATGTGCCACATAGGTTTGACGACTTTTGGTTGGGTGATAATGTTCTCTAAACCATGGTTATGGGACATTTCCCTGTGTTGGGAGAATTACCCGCACCATAACGTTGATGACGACGTATGGTGGTATTACACTATTGGTCTCGCCTATTTCTGGGCCTCCGCCTTCATGCAGCTGCCGACGCCAGGGCGCAGCTTGGGCGACAAGGTCCGCATGATGCTGCACCACCTCTTCACTATTCTGCTGATGGTCTTCTCGTGGACTTGTAACTTCGTGCGAGTGGGGACTATTGTATTACTTATCCACGAGTGTGTAGATATTCCTTTACTTGCTGCAAAAATGCTTGTATACGCCGACAAGAAGGGTCCAACGGATGTAATATTTGCAATATTTTTGGTAAGCTGGGCAGTGACTCGGTGTTACCTGTACCCCTTCTGGATCATGCGAAGTGTGTTCGTTGATGCGATAGACTGCATTACCATGCCTGCGAGCTACCTGTTTAAGGCTCTCTTGATAGGTCTGTTAATACTTAATGCTATTTGGACAGTGCTAATTGTGGGTGTGGTGGTGAGGAAGGTGCGTGCAGGCTCGCTACAGGACGTCAGGTCTGGCGGTGAAGAGCTTTCTGAAGATGAAGAACCCATTATTAATGGGACCAAAAGTGATTAGTAATGTGACGTGCTTCGCTGGCATTAATTAATCATCCGTTGTCAGTACAAAGTGGAACAGGGTTACCTTAATAAAAATATGAATGTCCTCGTGGAACTCTAGATGCCCCGTCTCCCTAATATGCTCCTATGTATGAATTAGCGGACACACGAACATAACACTATATAATTCTCACTGGAAATGGTGATGATATATATATACTGAAAATTAAACAGCATCATACACATCAGATTGTGCTGGCCACAGCTCCAAACTGTGATTGTTGACTGTGATGAAACCTGTGAGTGTTAAACTCTTGACCAGCTGCGGTAAATGTGCTGGTCAAGTCTCTTGTGTCTCAGTTTTATGGGAACAGCTTTCAGCAAAATTTGTAATACAGTCTAATATATATATATATATATATATATATATATATATATATATATATATATATATATATATATATATATATATATATATATATATATAATTGAATATGACCGAAAGGGTATGATTAATGATTTCAACAAGAATCTTTTCAATATTTCTTATGTTTACTTCACTGTCGAGGGAAGTTGAAAAATTATCTCTCTAAAGTTCATTTTCACACTATATTTATGGTCCGACGCCTAGGGAAGCGTTTCGTAAGGCACGCCTTACATTTTCAAAGGCAAATTTTCCATATGTTGTTGTTAGAGATTCAGCTACTGGGAACAAGAGATTCAGCTACTGGGAACAAGAGATTCAGCTACTGGGAACAAGAGATTCAGCTACTGGGAACAAAAAGTTCCATGTAGCACGAGCTATAGTGAGCCCGTAGTGAACGTACCTGCAACAGGAACGGAAGCAACCAGAAGAACATAAACCGCCAACATGTCACACTAATTTACTACCCCATTAATACCCATTATATAGGACCCTGTTAATAATCCATGTATGTTATTCATCCATGTCCATGTCCGAAACGTTATGCGTGCTAGTAGGCTTTACAAGAATGTAAATTCAACTTAATCTCTATGTTCTCTGTTAACTCCAATGTACCTTCTTGTATATAAGTAAATAAATAAATAAATAAATAAATGTCACTACCACCTCACCATTAGAGGATATAATCAGGTGCTAACACAGAAGAATTTGTCTCTGAAAATGTGAGGTGAGACCTTACGAAGTCCATCACTAGGCGTCAGACATAAATAATAAGTAAAAAACGAACTTTGGAAAAGTAATTTTTAATCTTCCTGCTTTCGCGAAGAAAAACATAAGGAATATCGAGGAGATTCGTGTCAGCATCATAAATCTAAAACTTTCTTTCAACGAAATGTGTTTAAAAGAAAGACTGGTACCATATATATATATATATATATATATATATATATATATATATATATATATATATATATATATATATATATATATATATATATATATATATATAAAGATCCGAGAGGGATCCATCCCTCTCGGATCTTTCTTGCAACTCCACCTATTTCGTGTAGATCGCCCTGGAAGCCGAAGCCGACTCCTTGTGAATGGGAGATGCCCCCCCCCCACTCCTTTAAAAAAAAACAAAGGTCAAAATCCATTCCATACAGCCGCCAACCCCCTTGTTTATGAATGAAAAACGGTTTACACACACGACTCAAACTGATGACGTTCGAACATTTCTCGAACAATGCTTTGCTAACGAATTTTGTTCAAATCTCAAATGTATAAATGCTTCACCAATGTACTACAAATACAAATAAATGCTAATAGAACCTCGAATCTCATACTTTGATACTCTTCTCCGCATCCTAAGGGTTGTAGCGCACTAATATATCCCTACGTGCTGCTGTTGTGGCGTACTGACAGCTGAGTGGACAGCGCTTCAGATTCGTAGTCCTGAGGTTCTGTGTTCGATCCCCAGTGAAGATGGAGACAAATGGGCAAAGATGTTTCTTTCACCCTGATGCCCATGTTACCTAGCAGTAAATAGGTACCTGGGAGTTAGACAGCTGCAACGGGCTGTCAAGCCTGACCTCGGGCCGGGCTTGGGGAGTAGAAGAATTCCCAGAACCCCCATCAAGCTTATCAAGCAGGTATCAAGCTTCCTGGGGGTGTGTAACAAAAAGGAGGCCTGGTCGAGGACCGGGCCGCGGGGACGCTAAGCCCCAAAATTATCTTAAGATAACCTCAAGAAGATACTGGACTGCTAGTATACCTGTGTGTGTACTCGCCTATTTGTGCTCACCTATTTGTACCTGCAGAATCGAAATTTGCCTCTTGGATCCCGCAATTCTAACAGACATGTTTAAAGCAATGACTCCTGTCCCACTTCCCTATCAGTTCTAGTTTTTTAACTATGAATAATGTTTGGTTCTACAACCCGCTCCTTTTGTATTTCTAATATTTTTCCTCGTGTTGTTCCTTCTTTGCCCCCGTGGAGAGTCCCCCCTTCCGCAGTTTTGTACATCCTTAACCCGCATCACTAAAGCTTTTACCCCTCCTACAGTTCTAAAACGCCTTTTCCTTGAGCACTTTTCTTCTCACTTCCGCTCCGTTTCCATCTTCACTGATGGGTCTAAGTCTGCGGACGGTGTAGGCTACTCTGTTGTTTTTCCTGATTGCACTTATATGTGTCGCTTACCTCCGGAGACTAGCATCTTCACAGCGGAGCTTTATGCTATTATCTATGCTCTTCGTCTCCTGCTTTCTCATTGTCAATCTTCCTTTGTAGTTGTTGTTGACTCTCGTAGTGCCCTCATGGCTCTTGAGTCCTTTAATCCGGTTCATCCAGTGGTTGTCGAGATCAAACATTGGCTGTTTCTTATTCACAGTAAATTTAAGTCGGTTGAGTTTTGCTGGGTTCCCAGCCATATTGCTTTAAATGAGCGTGCGGATGCTGCCATCAGGGAAGCTGTCCGCTCTTGTCCCGTCTCTCGTAAAGGTATTCCTTATTCCGACTTTCACCCTGTTATCCATTCCTTACCCGTTGGCAGGCTTGTTGGTCGTCTGTTACTGGTAACAAACTGCGTACTCTTAGGAGTTGTGTGTCCTCGTAGCCGTCCTCCTACTACTGTAACCGGCGATGGGAAATGGCTCTGGCGAGGTTGCATATTGGCCATAATCGCTTAACTCATGGTCACTTAATGGAGCGCCACCCCTGCTCCTTATTTTCCAAATGGCATTGTCCCTCTTACGGTCGTGCATATCCTTGTTGAATGTCTTGATTTCCGGGACGAGCGTGTGTCTTGTTTTCCAACCATCCCCAGTGGTCGCTTGTTCCTCGTTGGAATTCTTGATGACTCGGATACTTTTGATATCGTTCGCCTCATGCGTTACTGTTCTCGTATTGGCATCCTTGGTGATATTTAGCGCCCTCTGATTATCCCTCACATTTGCTGGTGCTACATAGCCTTCCCGGTTTGGTGCCTTCTTTTGATAATTACTTACTTACAACCTGCTCCTTTAGTTCATTCCATTTCACCACTACTCACACACTAAAAGAAAACTTTCTAACATCTCTGTGACTCATCTGAGTTTCCAGCTTCTACCCATGTCCCCCTATTCTCTTAAAATTCAGTGTGAACATTTCATCTATTTCCACTCTGTCAATCCCCCTCAGTATTTTATGTTGCTATCATATCTCCCTGCTCCCTCCTTTTTTCTAGTATTGTCAGGTTAAGTTCATTCAGTCGCTCTTCATATCCCATCCCTCGCAACTCTGGGACGAGCCTTGTCACAAATTTCAGAACCTTTCCAGTTTCCTTATATGTTTCTTCTGGTGGGGGCTCCATGATGGGGCTGCATACTGAGACTGGTCTTATGTAAGCAGTGTAAAACAATCTAAATGCTTCTTAAGTTTCTGAAGGACGTTTGAACTCATTCTGACGTTTTAACTTTTGCTATCGTAGAGTAAGCTGCAGTCGTTATCCAATTTATATGTGGCTTAGGAGTTAGTTTTAGTGTTATGTCCACTCCCAGGTGTCTTTCTTAAATCGTCCCAGGTAGGTAGTTTCCCTTCATTGTGCACTGTCCCTTTGGTCTACTTGCACCTAGTTTCATTTTCATAACTTTATACTTGCTCGTGTTTAACTCCAGTAGCCATTTCTCTGACTATCTCTGTAACTTGTTCAGGTCCTCTTGGAGGATCATACAGTCTTCATCTGTCACAACTTGTCTTATTAATTTTACGTCATCCGCAAACATCGTCGTATAGGACTCGTCTCTTGTAGACATGTCATTACGCATATTAAAAACAGAACTAGTCCCAGCACCGATCTTTGAGGTACTCCACTCATTAACGTTCACCAGTCCTACTTCTTGCCCCCTTACTGTTACTCTCTAGCTTCTTCTGCCTGTTAAGTAATTCCTTACTCATGCTAGGGCTTTTCCACTTATTCCCGCCTGCCTCTCAGGTTTGAATAGCAGTCTCCTGTGCAGTACTATATCAAAGGCTTTTTTAGCAGTTCAGAAATATGCAGTTTGCCCATCCTTTCCTCTCCTGCCTTATTCTTGTTACCTTATCATACAGTTCCAGAAGGTTTGTTAGGCATGATTTCCCTTCTCTGAATCCATGTTGGTGTTTGTTTACATATGTAATTTTATACCCAGTACATTGCTGCTGGTACGCCTGTCTCTCTATATCAGAAACATAAACCTGGCCCTTCTCCTCTTTCCTCCTCAGCGGGTAAGAAGGCATCGCAATATTCCTCACCTTCCATCTCCGACTCTATCCCTGCATCCCCTTCCATTTTAGTGGCAGTCGCCTGTTCCAGCTATGGAGATTCCCTTGGTCCTTGATTCTCTGTTGAATGCTGCCCTTGGTTTTTTATTCTTTCTTGGATGCTGCCCTTGGTTTTTTATTCGCTGTTGAATGCTGCCCTTGGTTTTTTATTCTTTCTTGGATGCTGCCCTTGATTCCCTCTTGGATGCTGCCCTTGATCCAGTGCACTCACCCTTTTCTGTCATTCCTGCCCCCAGGATGTACGTGCATCTTACTTCCTGACTGTCCCTCACGGTCACTTGTCCCTCGATAGAAT